TCTGGGATTCCATAAACAAAGGCATGAGCTTGGAATATGTTTTTTCTTGTTCTTGAGGGTGGTAGGGGGTGTCTTCCATCCTTTCAGGACTATGTTAAAAACTATAAATACTCTCCCCAGGAAAAAGTACACACAGGCAAATAATTTTGTATATAATTATATCTGTTCCTAGCCTCTTTTGTCCTACAGGCGATTTAAGAAATCTTGACCTTGGGGTGTCCCAGGAGCTAGAAACAAACAAACGAAACAGAAACAAAAACATCTTTTAACTCTCACTGGGAAATGAGATGGTTGTTAAAATATAAAGTCAATTGAATAAAAGCACAGGTGTTCTAAGAAAACCTAAAACTTCTCATTTTCTTGATCATGAGGTAGAGAGAAAACAAGACCTGTTATAATTTGTTTGGGGCTCCAACTGCATGGCTATACGCAGACAGAAATAAAAACCTATTTTTGGTCCTTGGGCCTATATATTCTGCACCTGCTTGCTGACCCAGCGTGCCAGGTTGTGTGGGGTCTCCAAAATCCATGTCCTTCCCAGAACCGTGGAATATGGCTTTATTTGGAAAAAAAGGATCACTGTAGATGTAGTTAAGACGATGTCATAACTGGAGGAGGATGGGCCTTAAATGCCCTATGACCGGCATCCCGCCCGCATAAGAGTGGAGGGGACATCGAGGCAGAGGCAGCTGAGTGGAGAAGGCCAAGTGATGTCAAAGGAAGAGGTTGGAGTGATACATCCATAAGCCAAGGATTCCTGGAAATACCCGCGAGGCACGAGACAGATTCTGCTCTGCAGATTTTAGAGAGAACGTCGCACGGACCACACTTCGATTTTGGACTTCTAGCCTGCAGAACTGTGAGACTAGGTCTGTGTTGTTGTAAATTGCCTAGTTTGTGGTGGTTTGTGATGGCGGTTTGTGGATCCCGCAGCGACCTGCCCTTCTCTGCCACCGTCCCCCGCCTCTGGACCAGAGCAGCTTAAGAGGCCCTCACCCAGCTGTGGGGATCTCATGCCCTAAACGGCTGAGGTGAACACGGTGTGAAGGAGAGCATGCTGGGAGCCTTGAAAGCCGAGCTCAGATCATTTAATTTCTTCTATGAAATTCATCCCTATCAAACCGTCTACAACAGCTTAAGCGCTCGGTTCCAACATGCATGCTTTTCTAATCCAATCTCGGCCCTTTTGAAATACTGCTATGCATTGTTTCGCAAAGGGATTTTGGGGGAGCGCTTGCCAGAACGACACCGGTGAGCAGCGAGGAAGCAGAACCGGGTAGAGGAGACAGCTGCATCGCAGTACGTTTGCAGCAGAGAGCCTGGCCAGTCCCGCTGGGAGCTGTGGAGTCTGCCCGAACGAGGCAAGGAAGCCAAGCCTTCGCACCCCGGCAGAGTGCGGCCGCTGGACGCGGGCAGGCGTGCACGTCGAAGCCACAGCCCTGGTCCAGGCAGCTTCCATCAGCTCCAGACAGTTTCTTTGGGGGTGGACGGAGGGGTAATGAGTGGCTGCGCCTGGCAGAAGGAAACGGATGTTGCCCTGCAGCACCCCCACATGGGCGGGGGGGACATCCTTCTGCTCGACCTGTGATCACACACCTGGACCGGGATCGCCTCGCTCCGGGAGAGAGTCCATGAGATGCTCTCGACTCGCGTGTGCAGTGACGAGTCTGAACGGTCTCGGCCTTGCCTGCGTGCGCATCTCCCCCTCTCCCCCGCCCACTCCCCACTTCCGCCCGTCGCCAAGCCTCTTCCAACCTCCGTCTCCTGGGGACTTCTTTTCTGGTTACCTAGGGTCACAGAGGATAATCAGTTGACTCTGCCTGGAAATCACCATTCTTTCGTTTGTTCACTTATTCGTTCATTCATTCATTGTCGTCACACATTTTTAACACCTATTTTATACTAAACTACGTAAAAAGTATTAAAAAAAATGAGTGAGGAGATTGTGAAGGGCCTTACAGTCATGGTAAGGAGTTGGGTTTCCCCTGGAATGAAGACACTTTAAAGGATTATGGGCAGTGCCGGGACCTCAATAGGTTTGAGTTACGAGTGATCCCTCCGTTGGTGGCAGAGAAGGACAGGTCGCTGCGGGATCCACAATACAAGGGAGGCAGTTTGCAGTCAGGGACTTAAAACACCACGCGAGTCACCCTTCGAACCTCAGCTGAGTCACTCATCTTCTGTCCTTCCTCTAAGACCCACCGCGCCGTCCCATAAGTCAGCAGCATTGCCAAAAGGCATGTCGACAGCCCGCATGGGTGGGAGCAACTCACATTCTCCCCCTAAGCCACCAGTAGCCCACGGGGCCCAGTCACATGACTTTGTATGTACAAACACACCATGCGTGTGACCCTAGGTCGCGAGCACTCAGTGTGAAGCAGGCAGCTGTCCGCATAAACTAGACGCCTCTAAAATATGAGCCCCCAAAGAATACACCGTTCCGTTTTGGCTTTTTACCTCCACTGCCTCAATAACTAACATAAATCTCTCGGTGGGTGGAACTTCCACATTAAACGCGAATTACGGGTCTAAGCACATAACCTAGCGGAAAAGACTATATCTCCCCCAAAAAACGAGAGCAGGGAATTTTTTTTAATTAGTCAACTATAGACCGGAAAATAGAAGAGAAAATATCATGTTAATAATAATTATTTGAGGGGGTAACAGCTTATGTTCTTTAATGCAGTTCCAACATAAATGTCACTGTAAGAAATGATATTTCATTTCCATACTAACACATCAGGTATGTAGTGCGCCGGGGGAGAAATGATGGGAACGACTTGAAAGCCGCATTAACCAGAGACACTGCAAAAATATTTATATTCTTATGAAGGAAGGAAGGAATGCCCCTCGTGGGCGTGTGTAAGTGGCCTCCATCCTTTGAATAAACGGTGATGCTAAACAAAGAATGGAAAGATGACCTTAGAATAATAACTTCAGGACCCAACTGGGACCCCGCTTTTCAACGTACGGAGATCATTTGCAATATGCTCAGGATGGAAATTTCCATGCTGCTGTATAGCTCACAGTCTTCATTCTACACCTCGAATACAAATCACCCGCACACCCAACTCTGGGCCGGCTCCCTTTCTGGGGGGTGCTCCCCCCGCCCCCCACCACATGTAAAATTACTCCTCTTACTCACTGTCTGCACTTCTGCTCAGTTAGTTACTGCACAACGCTCGGAAGGACGGGAAAACAAAGGGAGGTAGAAAACCAATCCGTTTGGAGACGTGGTCCGTGTGGACAGTGGGATGGGGACGCTAAGCCCGCTGCGGCATTGGGACGGCTTTCGCTAGCCAGTTCCTGCTCCGCTTTTGTCCCTGACAGAGACCCCGTGCCACGTGGGAAATTTGTCAGGGCAAATGCCAAGCCGCTATCTGAAAGCTGTCCCATTGGGCAAGCCTCTGTCACTGTCTGTCATTTCCAACAGCTACTAAGCACGTTACGTGGAAGGTGGAGAATTGCTGGGGCCCCTAAACTGCGAGTCACTCCGTTCCCAGACAACAGCTGTGAAGGACTTCGAGCTTCCGGTTGATTTATCACGAATGGCACTGACGCTTAGGGGACTAGAGGCGGCTGGCCTGCACGGGTGCTTTGGAGAAACTAACTCAGTGAAAGTCCAATAAATCTCTGATGATTACATGGAGTCGTCTTTTAAAGAAGTAACCGGCCCCTTTCCATAAGAGGCAAAGACCCCGAGAGGCACAAGGTGTCAAAGTCTCAGGATCCCCGGCTTACTGTTTCCGGTACCACGGGTGCTGATTATCAGGGGAGTGAACAGATTCCCGATCATGCGACCCCCAAGGACATTCGTGTATGCGCTCTCCGATGGCCTGCACGAACATCGTGTGTGGTGGGAGGAGGGAAGTCCTGATTCATCTCTGCATGTGATACGTGAAGCTTACGGGCTCACAGAAACGGGAAAGTGGAGGGCGAGGTCTGTGACGGCCAACCCCGGGCCCCACCTCTCTCTTCCTTATTCTGCATTGACGTCAATGTGGGTAGATAAGTCGAACGGTTCATTTATTCGGTAATAAAAACGATTGTTTCAAGCAACTGTTGAAACTAACTGACTGGCTAAGAGAATTAATGGGAGGTTTGGTCACCCTGTGTCAAAAAACACTCCTTGGCCAGGTGGGAAGTCAGATCGTGTTCGTCACCTGTCACTCCCTGTGCTCCCTTTGACGGCTCGCAGATTTCTACAAGCACGAGCTTGTGCAGAGCCCGGCGCTTCCTGGATGTGCCAGGGGAGTTTCAAAGCCAACACAATGCGCTTCGACGCCGGTGAAGCCCAGGTATTCGTGTGGTTGAATAGAAGTCAGCAAGGAGCCACCTGTCAGTTTGCCCAACAAATCTAAAAGAGTCTATTACCCGGCACTGTCACAATGCCCTTCACTGATGCTCCTCTGGAGGCGGGTAGGACGAGCAGCCAGAACGGCCTGCCATTCTCCAGCTGCTCACACACTTTATAGAGCCGTAGGGAGAATGGGGCTTGCACGAGTCCTTTCCCGGGACACTAGGACATGAGTCCTAGAGCCTCTCGGCGTGCAGAGGCCCACGACATGCACACAACTCTGTGTGCCCTGGTGACAGCAGCGTAGCAGAGAGCTGCTGACCGAGATAAGCACGGAAGACACAGAAGCACAACACACAGGCACTGACGATATCTATGCAACGACCGACGCCCTTTATGACGCATAGGGGACCCGTCAGTCTGCTCATGATAAAGGGTTCCCATGCCTATAGCAGGGCCATGTAGAGGCTCCCTAAAATCTGGGGGTACGTATCCGAGGGAGGCTCCCTGCCGCTTGCTGGCGAAGGCAGATGATCGACACACCAAATCAGTAGGCAGGCACACGCTGCCTCCAGGATCAGCACAGACTGTGCTGCCAGGGAAGGCATTGGACTAGTTCTCCCGTGAGATCAGGGAGCGGGGGCCAGGCAGCCCCGCTCCTCGCGGTAGATGGAAAGCCTGGGTGTCTCGCGGCCTCACGTACCTGGTAGGGCCCCTGGTTGCAGCCACAGAAGCTGCTCTCCATGGTGTAGCTTCTGGACACGCCCATCTCCCTCCACACCACCACCCGGGCCGTGGAGGCGCGTGACTTCTCCACGACGAAGCTGCAGCTGCTCATCGTGAATGCCGGTGCCAGCTGATCAAGGATCTTGGGGAGAGTCTACGACAACCACCAAAAGATAAGGTGAGGATGAGTCGCGAGCACTCGGGGATACGCACCGTGAAAAAGAAACTTCTCAATGTTTATTAGGCATCGCGATAAAGCAAACACAATATGTGCTGCTATAAATCTGGTATCGACTCTAAGAAATCGATACCATTAAAAAAAAAAATCATTTGCAAGATGAGGAAACTGAACCGTAGAAGGTTTAGAAAAAAATAGCTTAAGTCTGACTACGAAGTGGCCAGCATGGGACCCAGATGCCAACCTGGCCAGCTCTAGACTATGATCTTTTGACTCCATGTTTTGGCATCATCGTGGACCGATGTTGCACACACATATGTTCAGACTCATACACTGCTGCATTCAGTTCCATGGAAACCACAGACTTCATGGGGACCTGAAATGTAGACGGGACTCTGCCTAACCTCACTGTTTTCTAGCTCTAAGAGTCAAACTAAGGACTGTCACTTCTTTCAATCATACGGGCCACTGATGATGCTTGAGCAGAAATGCATATAGAGTTCACTTGTTTCCTGAGAAAGTGCAACGGCCAAAATACACTTTTTAGGCTCATCCTCTGATCCATAAATCTGAAGCTGGGCCAGTTATAAAACTCCTAAAAATCCATTCTCTCTCAGGCTCATACAGCCCACCTTTTCCTAAGGCAGAAAGCTTTATGTGACATCTCTTAATCTCTATTTAGAAGGCATAGGTAAACCATTACAACTCTCTGATTGACAGAAGAGGGGGCCTCCAGTCACCAGACCTCCCCTTCCCCCACCTCCGAAGGACAATGACTCAGAGTAAGTACACCAAGACTTTGGCTTAGTAAGTATACCACACTTAGCCCAAAACATTTGTTATTTACAGGAGAATTCTCTCACTTCAGTGTTGACAGAATCTCCACAAACTAGCACATAATATAAAATTGTATACATTAGATAAGAAACAGTAAAACTTCAGGCTTTTGGGCAAATTGTAAGAAGTTAGTGAAACAGATCATATTAATAAGCATATGAATTAAAGCCCTATTTTTAAAGACATAGAGTTTCTTTCATTTCTAGAACATTGAGCAGAACTCTTAGTAGCTCTGGTTCTTACTGGACCCATGCTTAAATGTATTAATATAAAGATTAATATATCTGTTAATTATATAAATTACATATGGCAGATAAGTATATATTAACATAATGATTAACACAATGTGCTGTGATCTCTAAGTTTCTGTATCCTCCGGACAGAGGCACCAGCTGAGCAAGGGAAATGAAATGCTCACATGCTTGCTTGAGTTCCTACAATCCCGTCCTGATAGATTTCATCTACCCACTCCTGTCTCTCTCTCTTGTGATCCCTCACCCCATTTTTCCCCTTCGAAATCTTTCTTTATTGTCTATGTAATTAGTCGTCTATTTTCGATCTCCTCTGCAGCCTAGAGGTTCCATGAGGGCAGGTCTGTGTCTTGTTGGCATGGAAATCTCAGCACAGGAAGCCGTGCTGCTCAGATAGTACTCCTTAATGATTTGCTGACATAAATAGAATCTGCCCCTAGGGCACTGGTTAACAGATATAAATAAACCACACACACACACACACACACACACACACACACACACACACACACACACACACACACAAAGTGATCAAGAATACTTGAAAATAATTTTAATTCATCAACGTTTGACCTCATTGCAAAAAGTTTAACCTGACGCCGTTCACATGATCTCTTCTTTCTTACTTAAGGGAACCTGGTTTTCTTAGCTGGTACAGATGACTACACGTTCGAATTGATGGCTGGCAATCTGGAGACGTTTCCAAGCTATGGTTTTATCCCTGGAGGATGGTTTTAGCCTGGAGGATGTGAGCTTTACAAGGTGCAATCGAAGGATTCCCCCTTCCATCTTTCTAGCGACAGTTTATCCATTCGTTAAAGAATGGACTCTGAAACTGGGCACTAACAGCAATACCTTCGTTCTATTTCCCTCTCGATTTTTACACAGATTGATCTGCGCCAGAGTGAGAAATGAAGATGAGGATAGCTAGGATGATGGGAGACTGTTTGTGCGTTTGGTTTCATTTGGTAAATGAATAAGAAATAGATGAATTCTGTGCAGGGATGGATCACTGGTACCTTGCTCCAGCGTCCCTGAAATCTCCAGCTTGGCTGGGGAACGTCGGCTTGGGACATTCAACCTTTCCCTTGTCACTTGGTCCGTGCCCTTAAACTTCATCTCAGTTTTCAAAAACTTGAAATTTATAATAAATACTTTTTCATGGAACGCTTACTATGTATTCTACATGCATTAACTTATTTAATCATCACAAGTCTTTGAGGCAAATTCTATTATTATAATAGAGAGGCCAGAAAAGTATCTTTTTTTTTTTCTAGCGGACCTAGAGCTAGTAAGGACAGAATTTAAAAGCAAGAAGAGCAGACCTAAGAGTCCGCTTCCTGCATGTACTTGCTGTGTGACTACAGATAAGCTACTCGGCCTCCCTGAGGCGTAGGCCCCTCGTCTGTAAAATGGAAGATTTAACATCTCCCTATTAGAGTTGTTACCAAGAATAAATGAGACGATGCACGTCTAGAGCAAAAAGACACAGGAGCTGGCACCAAGCATGGTCTCAACACGGAGCTGGCAGGGGTTTAGAGATTAGGCCAAAGTTGGCTGCAAGAATGAGTCTCGTGCATCCTAACAGAAACCGAATCCCATTGGTCCGGCAGCAGTGGAGTCGGGTGCAGCCAAAACGAATGGAAAAAGGCTTCTCATTTGATAATTCTGGTTTCAAGGTACACTGTACAAGCCTGAGTTGCATTAATTTGTCTGCTTTTTGCTGTCTCTTCTCAGCCCTGCCTGGTTGCCCAAATTCAAGAAAGATGGACCACTCAAAGACAGGCTGACTAAAAACTTAACTAGGCAGTTCCCAGCTCAGAGGTCTTTTCCAGGAAAATGTGAGGTCCCCGTGTCAGCCCTACAGAACTCAAATCACGTCTTCTCTTTTCTCCAGATGAAGCAGGTGGCAAGGGCATAGTTTGGGTCTAGGGCTCAAAAGTATGAATTCTGGATTCCTGCTATACCGTTTGACTTTCGGCGGGTCATTCAACTTGTCTAGCACCCAGTCTTATCACCGGAAAAGGGGGAAGGGAGTAATAATAGTTCCTACCTTGCGTGAGTTAATAAAGCACTTTGAATCCTCAATAAATGGGTGCGATTATTGTCATCATTACTATCCTGGTCAGAGCGAAGGGAGAAAAGGAGATCGCTCTGCTCAAATATTCAGTCTTCCAAGATTCTTTAAAAAGGCCTCGCTTTAGATGGTATATTTCCCATCTTTTAACTCAGCTAATACTCTGTTTTCCAAGCTTCGCACAAAGATTTAGACTCGCATTCACCACGTCCTTCATTCTAAACTACAGAGCAGTTGGACTCATGGTTTTATTTCTGTCCGATATAGCACAATTTTTTTTTGTAAGATCACTAAGGTTGGAATCGAAGTGTGAACTTGACGTGGAACCCCCCGTTGGGTCCCAATCCCAGCTCTTGCAAACTCCTTTCCCTCCTCTGTGAAGTTGGATGTCACCGAAAGTACCCATTCGTTCAACGAACACTTGTTGAGCATCTTCGGTTGCCGTGCTGTACTCCAGAACACAGGGCAGCTGGGAAGATGAAGTGAATCAGTGCATAGGGAGTGCTTACGATGGTGCCCAGCACATGCTCGGCACTGGTGAGTAGTATCCATAGTTACGATCTCTGGGACTCCTGACAGCTGGAGAGGTATGAAGAGGATCCACGCCAGGAAGTGTCACTATCAAGAGACACATCTCGGGCAGTGGCGCAGACCTGATTTCAACTATTATTTCTTAGAAGAAGACGACCATGTTTTACGTGACTTCCTTACATGAATACCTAGCAGAGCACTTGGTCCACGGTAGATATCGATGGTGTTTGCTTTTAAAAACCATAAATCGTCTTGACTGAGGTAGGCATGCAGTTTGATGATTTTTAGTAAGCGTACGCAGTTTTGCGACCATCACCACAATCCAGTTTTAGAAACGTCATCGCCCTAATGTTTCTTTCACACTTAGGTCCAGTCAATCCATCCTTCGGTGAATTGCAATCTGCTTTATGACTCTATAGTTTTGCCTTTTCCAGAATTTTTATACAGATTAAACCATATACACACACACACACACACATACATATATATGTATGTATATATATATATATTTGTTTCCAACTTCTTTTGAAGGTGAACTATGTCGTTGCATGTATCAGAAATTCGCACCATCCTATGCTGCCAACAATGATAAATGACTGTTCTGTTCTAAACATCCTTCCTAGACTTGGCATTTCCTGTCTTCTTGATTATAGCTATTCTAGTGATTGTGTAGTGCAATCCCATTATGTTTTTAATTTGCAATTACCAAATGAATAATGATGTTGTTAATAGAAGCCATTTGTATGTTATCTTTGAGGTGTTCAATCACATCTGTTGCCCATTTTTTAAAATCGAGTCATTTTTCTTATTATCGACTTGTAAAAATTCACAGATTCTGGATACAAATTCTTTATCCGATACAGGATTTGCGAATCGTTTTCCCAGTTGATAGTTTGTCTTTCCACTCTCTAACTAGTGACTTTTGAAGAGAAAAAAATGTTGAGTTGGATAAAGTTCCATTTATCACATTTTTTCTTTTATAGTTTGTGCTTTTGGGGGTGCTACCTAAAGCAGCTTTGACTGTTAAAAGAAGGCAAAATACAAAGATTTTCTAGCAGATTGCATTCCATAAGTTCGGTAGTTCAGTTCTTACATTTAGGTTTGCGATCCGTTTTAAATTAAATTTTGTGTATGTTGTTAAGGAAAGGTCTGAATTCATATTTTGCCATATGGCTGTATAATTGTTTCAGCACTATTTGTTGGACAGATTGTTCTTCCCCGATGGAATTGCCTTGGCACTTTTGTCAAAAATCAAATATATAGTGACGGAAAGAAATTTGACTTTGGATGATGAACACACAATGCGATATATGTATGACGTATTTTTGAGTTGTATACTCGAAACCTATACAATTTTATTAATCAATGTCGCCCCAATAAATTTAATTTAAAAAATGATGTCTGATATAAATAGGTGTTAAGTAAATACCTATGTCTATTTGATAGATTTTTTTTTTAAAAAAATCAAGACTAGATATTGAATTTTTAAAAATGTTTTGCAGCATCTAGGATATTATCATGTGATTGTTATTTTTCCCTTAGAAGCCATTGGTGCATTTTATGGGAGAGAAAGTATTATTTTCTATTTATGGACAAACCCACTGTAATTTACATTTCCATAATAAAAGATTGATACGTTAAAAGGAATCAGTTGCCCATAAATGTGTGAGCGTATTTCTGCTCTGTTCTGTTCCACTGACTTGCATGTCTATCCTTATGTCAATACCACATTTTCATGATTACTCTCACTTTATAGTTTTGAAATCATGTAAAGTAAATGCTCTCACTTTATTCTTCTCTTGTAAAATCTCTTTTGGCTATCCTAGCTCCTTTCCACATAAATTTTAAGGTTAGCGTCTCAATATCCACAAAATAGCCTGCTGAGATCTTGATAGAAATTGTATTAAATCATAGAAAAATCTGGGGAGAATGACCATCTTTAAAACATTGTCTTCCAACACATTAACTTGGTACATTTTTCTACTTATTTAGGTCCCCTCTAATTCCTCTCCAGAATGTTTTGTCGTTTCAGTGTAGAGAAAATACACTTTTTTTTTTTTCTGGGGATTTGTAATTGGCTTGATCTTTTTAATACTATTACAAATGGATTTTTTCTTAATTTCATTTGTGGATTGTTCATTGCCAGTACACAGAAATAAAATCAATTTTTATATTGACCTTGCTAAACTTGCCTATTAGTTCCAGTAGTTGCTAAGAATTTTCTACATAAAATACTATATCGCCTGTGCATAAAGACAGTTCTGGTTTTTTTTTTTCCAATCTGCTTCTCTTTATAATTTTTCTTGTCTTATTGAACTAGCTAGACTATGCAGTAAAATGCTGAACAGAAACGGTAAAAGCATTCTTGCCTTGTTTCTGATCTTATAGGAAAAACATTCAGACTTTCACCAGCCAGGATAATAGTAGCTATGGGACATTTTTCAGATGCCTAATTTCATGTTGAAGAAAATCTCTTTCTAGTCTTAGTTTGCTGTGAGATTTTATTTTAAATGGATATTTAACTTCATCAAATGCTTTAAATGTATGTATTGATATAATGATGTAGTTTTTGACATTTATTTACTTACAAAGAGTGGACCAGTATTTGACCTTTTATGTTAAACCATTCTCTAATTCATGAGATAAACTCCACTTTGACACAGTGAATGATGATTTTTATGTGCTGCTGCGTTTGAGTTGCTAATATTTTTAAAGGGTGTTGGGGTAGGTGTTTATGAGTGATATTGGCTTTCTTTTCTTGTAGTATCTTTTCTGGCTTTGATATTAGAGTAATATGGGACTCAGAAAATGAGTTGGGGAGAGTTTCTACTCTTTTTTAAAAAAAATTTATTTGCAGTTAGTATTGTTTATGTGTTCAGATTTTGATAGAATTCACCAACAAAGCCACTTGGCCACATTTTATTTGTGGAAAGAGTTATAATTCGTAATATAATTTATTTACTAAAATAGATCTAATTATATTTTATATGTCTTTGTGAGTCAGTTTTGATAATTTGTATCTTCCTCAGAATTTATCCATTTGCTGCCAAGTAGCTCTTACGCATTTTCTTTTATATTTTGGGAGGTCAGTAGCAATGTCCCTTTTCATTCTGACTTTCTTGTGTCTTCTTTCTGTTCTTGATCTAATTAAAAGGTTGTCACTTATGTTGACCCTTTCAAGAAACCGAACTAGCATTCATGGATTCTCTATCGTTTGTATGTTTTCTACTTTACAGATTTTATTTGGGCTCTTGTCTTTGTATCAATATAGCCACTTCACACTTACCCTGTAGCTGACATCTTCCAAGAGTGTGGATGTGCCCACAGCGGACTCCGCTTGCCACAAAGTCTCCTTGATGCTACAGCCATAAAGGAACACGTTCTTCTTTTGGGAATGGCCATGGAAATCACAGAAGACCTACAATTGGGCAAACAAAGAAGAAGGTCGATCCAGGTCAGACCTATTGGGTTCTTAAATATTTAACATGTCAGCTTCCTTGGGTAGATAGCGTTTACTTAGCAGAACCAGCCAGGTGGGGATCATCGGTGAGCTTGGCAAGAGTTGTATGGGTAAAGTTTTCAAGGGAAAGGTTAGATTGGAAGAGGCTGAGGACTGAATGGAATGTGAGGATGTATGAGTCACATGTAGCTCTTTAGAGAAATTTACTTGTGACAGGAGAGGTGTCAAGGTCTGACTAGAAGAGAAAACAGGAAGAAAGGCTTTTTTAAAAAAATGAGTTTTGCACAATTTTAAAGTCAGTAGGAAATAAACAGTCACTTAAAATGAATAGATTAAATAGAAAAAAGAGAGAAGCTAATAAATCATTATAATGTTTTCTTCAGGGTTTGATGTGGTGAAAAAGTGACCAGCAAACCCAATGGCTTAGCAAACAATGATTTATTTTCTAGCAGATCCTCTTCATCCTAGGATCCAGGCTCAATAAAGAAGATGCCCCAAGTGGGGACAAGGTACGACTATGGCGGAGGTGGGGAAGATCAAAGGCAGACTTACACTGCGCCTCTTAAAGCGCCTACTGAAGCATGGCAGACATCACGTCTGCTGGCCACTGGTGGAAGCGAGTCATGTAGCCATGGGGTGAGGGAGTATCTTCCTCCTACGAGGAGGTTCTGCAAAGTCACGTGACAAAGGGAAAGTCATGCGGAATCCTATTAAAATAAGAGATTCGCTTGCCCCTTTGCTATGGACTGTGTTCTAACTCTATTGAGAAGTGAAATATATTTCTTCACCCCTTGCATCTGGACTTACACATGTGACACCTTTTGGCCAATATGTATTGGCAAATATGATGCGGACTGAAGCTTATAAAGGATTTGTACATTGGGGCTTGCTGTTTGACTGCTCCTGGGAACCGTGTGACAACCTCCATGTGGAGAAACATAGGCTGGCCTGCTGGGTGACAAGAGACATGCTACAATGTCATCCCTCATTGTCCTATAGCTGATAGCAAGCCAACCAGTAGACCTGTGAATGAATGAATCCACCTGAGACCATCCTTCCCCGGCCAACAGCTCCGACCACAAGAATCACCTAGTTGACGCATAATTCTCACACAGCATCATTAGAGAGATTGCTTAGTTCTTGTTTAAGCCACTAAGTTTTGGGGTGCTTTTTTATCCAGCATAAGCTAAGTACTGAGAAATCTGTCCTTTTAGTCTAAATATTTGCTCCCCTCCTTGCCAAAAAAATCCCTCTGCCCATCTCACCCCGTCACCATATCAGACCCTGGCCAAGGTCCCATGATAGTTTCTCTACCCCAGTTCTATGAACAAAGAAGGCAAGTCGTCTGCCTTCCACCCGCTTACATACACTTGCTGAATGAGGAAATAGACCCCCAACAAACACTCATGTCTGAAAGGGTGAATAAAGGAAATAGTGGTCATTTGTTTACGACAATTCTGAAATGATAATAGGCAGACATTTGAGTTTCCTATATATGTCCCTACATATGTGAGTGGGGCCAGTTGGTCGATCGGGCCCTAGTTCTGCTCCCTCTAAGTTGCTCATCGGTCTTTTTTCTCTACAGATCTTTCCTCTGCCCTTGGCAGATAGGTACCTGTGTCCCCATCATTCTCCTTGGCTGCATTTGAAAAGGGCGTTGGAGAATAATATTCTCCTTTGAGGCCAGGCATCTATCTTTTCTGATTCTGAGTGTAGAAATTTGTGGGTCCAAAAACGTGAAGGTTAGATATTTTTTTTCTTTTTCTGCTTGACATTAATTTCTCTAAAACATAACTGAGGGTCTAAAGTAAAAATAATGATAATGCGGTATGTGTTTATAGTATATGTAAAAGCAAATGTATCACAATAATGGAAATTTGGAGTAAGAAATTGTGAATATACTGTCGTAAGGTCATTATACTACATATGAGACACCATAATATTTTTTAAAAATGAGACTCTGATTAATTAGAGATGGATATTGTAACAATAGGGCAAACTCTAAAACTATTTTAAGGAATACATACAATATTCAAACACGGAGACAAATTGGAATCATAAAAATGCTGAATTAATACCAAAAAATCAGAAAAGTTGAAAACTCTTCAAACAGGTGAAACAAACAGAAAACAGCTGATAAGATGGTAAGTTTCAATCCAAACACATTCGTAATCTCATTAAAGGTAAATGGTCGAAGCATACGAATTAAAATATAAAGACCGTCATGTTGGTTATTAAGCAAGATGAAATATATTCCGCCTAAAAGAAATTCATTTTAAATAGAAAGACATACACAGATTAAAAGTGAAAGACATCAGGAAGTATGTTAATGTAAATACTGGACAGAAGGAAGCTGGAGTAGCTACCTTATTAGATAAAACAGACACCAGAACAAGAGGTATGATCTGGGATAAAGACGGACGTGTTGGTGGACGTGCCCATGTTGTTTGTGGTCATAGAATGCGACCGCTTAGCTGGTCTCTGCTACTCTGCTTTCATCTCCATCAAAATCAGGCACTCCATCTCGAGTGGCTTCCCCTACAGAGCTGGCCTTAAGGAAGAGCGACCACAGGACTTTTCAAGGCTAAAGATGCTCCCCCCCCACGAAGATTTCTCACTGTCTTGTTGGAGAGAGTGCCTTCTGAACCTTCTCTAGATGGGAGGTGGGTGTCACGTCCAAGACAAATCCAGTACACGTTCCTATCTCCCTGAGACTTTGGATTTCCCTCTCCACATTATGCCATGGAAGTTCTGGCACTTTGGTCTCACTCAATATGGGCTACTGTCAAGCACAGGTTTCAGCTATCGACCAACGGAAGCCGTTAGATCTAACGCCAGCTGCTCGAGATAACCAATTAAATCTGGAATCTCTAGAATGTGCACTCATGTCAAGGAAGTTAGCCAAATCTAGTGTTATGTTCTGCCCTCATTAGCTTAGCACTCTTAGAATGCAATCCCAATCTGATGATCCAGATTTCTGATGACGTCTACTAATTAGCAAAATCTTTCAATTCTTTTGATGGGTAAGCTATTTCCTCCTGAGTCACAGGGTATGCTGATCTTCTATAATCATGCTTATCTTTGATCCCAGTTATCAGATGAGGGCACACCGCAGGAGAGTTGTGGTACATTGGGGAAAAAATGAGCATCTTTTTTCAAGAAATTTGCCCCCAGGTGAGGTATCACAGGATATTTAAGCAGAAGAAGACCAACTGCCTCAGATAGCATTTCCACTGATAAGTGGGGCGAGGCGGGGGGCTTGGTATTCAAGATTGTCAGTTTCATTTAGGTTCGACCATTTGCCCTCATCCCAAGTTCTAGGATCTTATTAATTGCAAACCAATCTCTAACTTTCATGTGAGAAACTTAGCAACTGTCACTGTCATTCGGCAGCCTACACAATTATTTTTTTAAAATTTTACTCTCCGCTCTACCAGGCCCTGTGTTGATAGGACATTGGATATTTCATAGCTGTCACAGAAGTTCTCTGGTTCTCAAACAATCAACTGAGTTGAAAGTTAAGAAATCTAATCTTGTCATTTTCTTTCTGTAAACACTCAAGTGAATTAAAAAACGGAAGGGCTTGTCGTCTTCATTACTGGCATAGCGGTCAGTTGTAGTGACCATGTGGACCCCCAAGGCACAGAGTCCTAAACGAACATGCACGTAAAGGACACCGAAGGGACAGGTAGGTAGATGATCTCCCTGGTCAAAAGAGAAGATGAAGACCGACTCTTTGATGGCGAACTGGAACCGATAAGCTACGTTGCTTTGTTGGCAGACTATGTGAGTAGCAAGAATTCAATGATGTCAGGACTGATTTCTGGAATCAAGGTTGTTGCAGACAGAAACACGGACTCAACCAAGGGACAGACAGCAGGTAGGTTTTTGGACGGACCAGGTGTCTGTGAGATGACAGTTTTAAGGACTAAAGGACTCAAAACTATTCTCTATGTTTAGCTTCTTTCCCTCCTTCTTTGTTTTAATTATTCTCCTTGGCTGCAATAGAGAGTGAACATTATATTTGGGGGGATTTTTAAATTACATTGTAAATTCCCTGTCAACAATAGAGAGCGAACATTATATTTGGGGGGATTTTTAGATCACATTGTAAATTCCCTGTTAGCAGAAAAAATATTTTTAAGTATTTTTTTTCTCTTCAATAAAAAATAACAATTTTATTTTTTATGTGGAATTCTTAATTCACCATTTCGGGTCAAAATCTTATGGGGAAATAAGTCTCCCCAACTTCTCGGTATGGCTGAACTATGGGTGTTGGAGTTGCAATGGGCAAAGTTGGGAGGAGGGAGTTGTTCCAGTGACAAGTCAAACCATGCAGAAGACAAATAATGGGAGAGTGGAAACAGTGAATAAGCAGAATACGTCGTTTTGTACTGGGTGGGATAATTAATGAAATGCACAGAGAAAATCAGAAAACACAAAATGTGGCCACAGAAAAAGATGACACATGGAAGGAAGAATTAACTCTCTGGAATCTGGGTGCTTTGCAGTTCCTGTAAGACTTTTGGGATTTATTTCCTTCAAAACCCTGTGTCTCACTCAGTACTTGGGTTATTTTGAGCAGGATTCTGTTATTTCTAGCAAACACATCCCCTAGGCTACCATTTTTTTTCCATCCTGGCTCCACGTTAGAATCTCCGGAGGAGATTTGAAAAATAGCAATGTCCGAAGCCCACCTCTAGAGATTTTGACTTAATTGGTCTGCAGACTAGGACTATGGATTTTTAAAAAAATTTTCCAGGTGACTCTCATGTGCAGCCAAGGCTGAGAACCACTGTTCCCGTCTCACATGTGACTAAGCATCAGGATAAGCTGGACCACTCGTTAGCCACTCCCCAGAAATCTGCGAATCCAGTAAGACTGGGTCCGACCCAGGATTTTGAAGTTCTAACAAGTCCCAATGATACTGATGCCCCTGGTCCCAGGACCGCAGTCGA